CAGCTGCCATCCCTGTGTTGAGCTCCCCTTCCTCTACAACCTATAGGCAGGCACCATCTTGCCTGTGTTGAAGCTTCCACCAACACGGCCAAATCTGAACCTGCACTGGCCTGGTGAACTCCACTTGCCTTACCCTGGTGACTCCCTGGGACCCTGCCTCACTCAACTCACGTACTGCCCAAGGCTCTTTCAGTGGCTGAACTTATGGGCAGCAGGCAGGCAGCCTTAGGCCTTGGGGTGTCCTTTGCTGAGCTGCTCCAGAACTAGTACTGGTGGCAGCCAGTTTCAGTTCATAGCATGGCCTCTCCCATGTGCCTTCAGGCAGTGACCAACCATGGATAGCTTTATAGGTCCTACCAAGTAGACTCAGGCTGGTCACATGTAGTGGCTGACCTTGGCTGGCATAGGAGCTCCTCTCAACGGGCCCCAGAATCAACACACCCAGAAGCCAGCTTTGGACCACAACAGAGCACTACTTGATTACCCCACAAGCTGCACACCCAAAGCGTGATCTCAACAGGCACGTGAGCACGTGGGAGTGAATCCTGCTCTGGGGTGAGTCCCCACAGCTCATAGGCTGTGGGTTTGACTAATCCTCACAGCCAGTCAGCCTGAGACAATCCAACCCACTGATGTGCCAACAGCAATCAAGGCTCAACTATAACAGGAGAGCACAAACAACCCACACAAGGACACTCCTGTATTACCCAGCCCAGGCAATCAAAGAGACTGCCATTGGGCCACACAGGGCACCTACTACATAAGGCCACCTGGCCAAGACTGGGAGACATAGCAAATCTACCTAATACATAGAAACAAACAAAGAGAAGCAGCCAAAATAAGGAAATAAAGTAACGTCTCAAATGAAAGAACTGGAGAAAACTTCAGAAATGGAACTAAATGAAATAGAGGCAAGCAATCTACCAGATGCAAAGTTCAAAACACTGGTATAAAAATGCTCAATGAGCTTACAACAGATGATCTCAGTGAGAACTTCAACAAGGAGATTGTAAGCATAAAAAAAGATATAGAAACCATGACAAAAACCATAAAAATTGAAGAATACAATAACTAAAAACGTTTGGAGGAATCAATAGTTTCGAGCAGAGGATCAAATCAGTGACTTGGAAGACAATGTAGCAGAAAACACCCAATTGGAACAGCAAATAGAAGAATCCAAAAATATGAGCATCGTTTAAGGGGTCTTGGGGCAAAATCAAATGTAACAACATTCACAACATATGCATATTAAAACCACAATGATATATCACCTCCTGTCAGAGTGGCTATCATCACTAAATCAAAAAATAAGTGTTGGCAAGGATGTAGAGATAACGGAATATTCATACTGTTGGTGGGATTGCAAATTGGTGCGGCTGCTATGGAAAACAGTTTGGAGGTTCCTCAAAAAATTAAAAATAGAACTACATTATTACCCAGCAATACCACATCTGGGTATTTATCCAGAGAAATTCAAAATACTATTTTGAAAAGATACATGCACCTCAATGTTCACTGAAGTGCTATTTACAATAGCAAAGATGGAAGCAACCTAAGTGCCCATCAATAGATGATTGGATAAAGAAGAAGTGGTACATGTATACAATGAATGCAGTATTAGCCATAAAAATTAAAATCTTACCATTGCAACCATATGGATGGACCTAGAGGGTATTATGCTAAATGAAATAAGTCAGACAGTTAAAGATTAATATCATAAGATCTCACATATATGTGGAATCTAAAGAACAAAATAAATGAACAAACAAAACAGACTCATAGATACAGAGAACAAACGTGATTAACAGATGGGCGGGGTTGGCAAGCTAAGTGAAAAGGTGAGGGGATTAAGAAATACAGATTTGTAGTTATAAAATAGTCACAGAGATGAGAAATACAGCATAGAGAATATAGCCAATAATATTATAATAACTACATATAGTGCCAGGTGGGTACTAGACTAATCGGAAGGATCACTTCCTAAATTATATAAATGTCTAACCACTATGCTGTATACTTGAAACTAATATAAAATAATATTGAATATCAATATTATTTTTTAAAATATTTAATTGAAAAATAAAAAAATTTAAATTACATCTGTGAAACACGATAAAGCAAAGTACAATAAAATGAGGTATGCTTGCATATACAATAAAAAACATTTTAAATGAGAATTTTCTCACAAATATTTTATAAAGGAAGTTAAACTAGCATAAAGCTATTTAAAGAGATTATCAGTCCAATATGAACCAATAGTATGTGAACCAATACTAGCCTTTGCAAGTCAAAATCAAATCGTTTATGGAGGCTATAAACCACTCTGGACCTGATATCTGTCTCTTGAATTCCAATGTGTCAATGTTTTTCCTATATAAATATATCTGGGCATATTAGGATAACACAAAATTGATGTTAACAGTTAACATGGCCCTATGTTAGGCTGCCTTAACAGAAAAACATTCCAGATCCCAGATAGTGATTATCCTAGTATATGATGTAGAATAAGTCAGACCAAGTCTCAAGTCTTGGACTTCATTTGCTGACTGACATCTAGTGTTTTCATCTGAAGCTTCTGTAAACTGCCATTTGAAGAACAACTGAAAGAACTAAGGATGTTTAGACTGAAGGAAACCCTGTGCCTTCTGATGCACATGATATCCTATGTCCATCCACATTGGAAGAGAAGAGGTAAGGGAGTCTACCCCCAGATGTTGTGTGCAGCCTTATGCTTTTGCATGTCCTGTGTTGATGGGGGAGATCATTTCCATTTTCATGCTCTCCCCATTCTCATTCTGTCCTTCCGTCTTGCAAAACATCCCTGAAGACAAACACAAACAATAAAAATGTAGGTAGGTGAGTTTCCCTTAAGTCGTGTCCATATATTTCAGCAAGCCTTCAGACTGGCATAGAATGAGAGCAGCAGTTCTTAAACTGGGAGTGATTTCCAGCCCCACCCCCTTCCCAATAGGGGACATTTGCAATGTCTGGAGATATTTTTGGTTGTCACTACTGGGGCAACAGGTGCTATTGCCATAAAGTGATTAGAGCTAGGGATGCTGCTAAACATCCTGTGATGACCAGAATATCATCCTAAAATACACTGATATTCAGCCCCAAATATTCATAGTACTAAGGATGAGAAAGCTGAACAGGAGGGATAAGGCTGGGCAGTCTGTATCACAAACATCTCTGAGCCCACCAGACCTTTTTATCCTACTCTTGGGGTGAGTTGTTCATAGCAAAGAGTCTCTAGTGACTTCCATGAGCCTTGACATTTTTGTGCTGAAGGTTGGGGAAATCAGCAGATGTTGGTTTTCCAATTTTTTTTTTTTGCTCAGTGCACATGATTTCTACTCCAGGAAAGATTGGTACCCCTTCATGTCTGGAGGGTAATGATTTCTTATTTTTGTAACTCAAGTGCCTGCTAGAATGCTTGCACATAATATATGTCCAAGAAATGTCTATCCAGTGAATGAACAGAACTTGCTGAGCCAAGTAAAGGAGACACTAAAGTTTCCATAAACTTCCAAAAATGAGAATAGCCTAAAATCTCAGAGAGATACTAAACCATATTAATAGAGTTTGGGCTTCCAGGATGATAGTACGAGAACACTTACTTTTGAATAGCTTACTTTTGAATAGTACCGTTCCGAAGATCGCACATATTAATAGTAAAGTGACAAATATCCAGATTAAATTAAAAGATGGAGAGGGTGGCTCAGCTGTGGAGGGAAAAAAATAATGTCAGCTCTAATGTGTTTCCAACTGCCTGATACCCATTGTATGCCTCTTATATTGACAGAATGGTAAAGAGTATTTTCCACTTCTTTGCCCAGCAAAGAACTGAGAGTGGATATGGCTTGGTGTTCGATGGGATCATCCTGAAGGAAAGCTCTGCAAACTGGCTCTCAGCTATAAAACACAGGGAACAGAGAGAACACGGGGACATGGGGAAGATTGTAGGTGAGAAGCAGAAAGGTATGTGTGGTACTGCTCTTAGTGTTTCCTGCTCAAGAGCAGCAGCCATACTCCTTTGCAGAATGGTTAGAAATAACATCTGGAGAAAGGGAAGGAACACAAATTAAAAGGAATATTAGTAGCTCATCTTCTTCTGATTTCTCTGGAATAGCTGACCATAAATACTGGACATTTACTAACTCATTGTTTCTCATTTTTCTGATTACCAAACTTTGTGGATAACTTGAAAGTTGAAACCTTCTCTACCTTGGACTTCTATGACACCACATTTTTCTGTTTCTGTTTGTCGTGACTCGGTTTTCCCTGTAGGCTATTCTTCCACATCGTGTCCTTTAAATACTGTTGTTCCTCATGGTTCCATTTGTGGTCCCATTCCTTTCTCACTAGCCCCATTCTCCTAAGTGATCTTATCCACACCCAAGGTTTGAAACATCATCTGTTTTCTAAATCTGTATATAATATTTCTGATCTCATTTCTGAGCTCCAGATTTGTATTTTCAGCTACCAACTAGAGGTTGGATTCCAGCATCTCCGCTTGATTGTAATTGAACTTACTATATTCTTTCCAAAGCATATCTACCACTTATATTCTCACATTTCTGAATAATACCCTTAGTTATCCAAATAAGAGTGAAGGCTTGTGTTCACGCCCAGTAGGCTCCCATGGACTTTCTATTCTATATTGAGAACATTACTGCAATTGATTCCTTTTCCCCAAATCTCTTGCAGCAACTGTCTTAGTTCAGATTTTTCTCATCTCCCACCCAGTAGCTTTCATATTGGTTTCCTAGGCTCTAATAATTCCTACACATTTTGTTACAGTATCCATTCTAAAATGTACATTTGATCACAGCACACCTCCCACTTAGAGACTAGGGAGAGGTTTTTTTTTTTTTTCTCTAAAACACCAGATCACATGGAGATGCCATGTAATTACCAGTGTTGGCCTCTACAGACCAGAATGATCCCCCAAATAACGAAGAAGCTCTTGCTGTTTTTCTGGGAGTCTAGAAGTTTCACAGGTTCTGACTCACTCCTGGCTTCCTCTGCAAGGCCACTCCCATCCATCCTCAAGCCTCACTAGAGAGAGGATGTGTGTTTAATGGAAAGAAAGAACCAATAACAGCAAACTGGCTCTGTTATAATGCCTATTAGGAACCTGGGAATGCACTGCAGGGCAGATCCAGAATCCATTGGCATAGTTAGGCAAAGGCATCTGCACTTATAGTTCATTAGATACCGTGAGTGGGACTCCCTGATTTATAGCCTTCCACACATACATATGCCTTCCCGTACATCAAGGGTTAACAGATTTAGTGGGCCCAGACTAAGAATCATAGACAAATCTATTTAATTAATAAAGTTGAGAGGGTATTTTTAGAGTGGGTATTTATATAGTAAAGCTTTACTCACATGGACTTGTAACATTTTTATGAACTATGCACCTAATTTATGTTTGCTTAAGCATCATTTGCTTTGACTCTAAATGATGCCTTCAGTCCAATTAGTGAGAGTCGATTTATACACTAAAGCACCTACCAAGATGCTTGCTATGCGATAACTAAATGAAAAATAATGTTGAATTAATAAACTATTTTTACTATATGATTCAACACTCATTTTTATAAATTTTTGAGAATACATAAAGAATCCACCTTAAGACAGAAAGATCTAGAGTAAATTCATTCACTAGGATGAATGACTGGACTATCTAAAATATCTCTTCTACTACAAGTAAAGACAAGAAGAAGACATAAGACATACTATACATTATACTCTACACTTATGTACCACTGTATGTTAAACTTGTGTATTGTTGCTTACTATGTAATCACAAAATGTATTGTTAAGAGTTGGGCTTGGGGGTGGGAAGAGGCCTGGTGGTTCTCCATATAATCAGCCATACAAGTTAGGCACGTATTTCAAGTATCTGAGTACTCCTGTAACAACCCATTATGGGTTTGACAAGCATAAATTTATAAAAACCCAACATTTTCCATTTTATATTTCAAGATGACTTCACTTCCTGGCCAACAGATAATTCTATAAGTTTACTGCCTGTAGGGTAAAGTATCTGTTCATGGTCTTTGCTCAAAAATGACCTCTTTTTTTCAGGAATTGTCCATAAATAGCTTGTGATTCACCTTCTCCACCAGACTTGGTTTTGAATGAACCAGTAGTTCTTTAAAGGCACTGTCATCCACAGAAGACAATGATTTGATGCCATGGGACCATGGAAAGGAATGCCCAAAAGACACTGCCAAAGCCCTTAAGGCAATTTCAAAGAAGGACAAATATTAGTCTTTTAAATAACAATAATATTGTTATAATAACTTTCTAAGATGACTATTCGATGGATAGCACTTATATGGACTCTAAATTTTAGAATGTTTATTAATGAAAATAAAATTAGTCTAGTAACATTACAGTCATACCTCATACAGGGATCTTAAGTCACAATAACATTTTATCATTTTATTTGTATGTCTAAAAATACTGCAAAAAATACAGTCATAGTCTACACGCACAATTCTAAAATGTACCTGGCTGAGTTATTTTCTTTTTAGATTCTCCACAGTAGAAACTCTGCAGGATAACATCACTTACTTTTTTGCCAGTTGAAGGTCTGAGACACTGTTAAGTTTCCATACTTGACAAGACATATGAAGCTGTGGTTGTTTGTCACATTGAAATCCAGTTTACTGCTAATAGTATAGAGCTCAGTCTCAGGATCTTGGGAAACTGTTGTGTTGATGGCATCTAACTCTCTTCCATTTTCCAACCAGGAGAGCTGAGGCTTTGGAAAACCTCCGGAGGTTGAGCAAATTATCCTTTTGATGTTAGTAAATGGATTTCCAAGGTCAGTTATATTAGGGACAGGGAAGTCAGCTGAAGAAAGAACAAGAATATAAGTACATATCATTATATATGTGTGTGTGGAAGGGGTCATATTTTTAATAAAGTATCTAGCTTTAATAAGAATACAAAAATGAGATCTACTTTGCAACTTCCCATAAGTCGTGAGTAGCTATGTATATCCAAAGACTAACTTCAGTTTGAATTGGTTATAACAATTCTTCATCACCTTTGATAGAGGTAGGAGGGCAGTTATTAAAGAAAAGAAATAGGTTCATGTGAATAAATATTGACAATAGTACTTGCATTTGAAAGAAGTAAAGAGGAAAATAATAAACGTTTATTGAGCTGTTAATGTTAAGTCTGTACATTGCCTCCTTTTGTCTTTAAAACAACCTTAGGAGGTAGGTGGTATATCAAAATTGATCAAACAGTAATTTTATATGACTTAATCTAATGCAATTTCCATTTTATAAATAATTGAGTTAGGATCTGATCATAAGCAATAAGTGGCAGCATTGGGATTTGAATTCAAGTTTTTCAGATACCAGAATCTTCCCTTACTTGCCTTCCTTCCTTTTACTTTGCTTTCTTTCCATCCTTCCTGATATTTAAGGTACACAAAGTGGCTTTCTCTTACTTATCTACTTATTCATTAATATTACAATAGACACCTATGAACTCACCATCCAACCTGAGAACCAGAACTTTGACAGTAACTTATGTAAATCTACTTGTGTGGTCTCAACTATCTTATCTCCTACTTCCCACACCTAAGGTAACCACTACCCCAAATTTTGCATAGCATTTTTTTGCTTTTTCAAAAGTTGTCTTCGAATTAGGTAAACCTCTGTCCAAATTGTGCAATTTTGAGCCTGTAACCTCGATCACTATCCTTTACTTATCTCCTCGCTGTTCTGACATGCCTTAACAGGACAGAGCGTTCCTCCTAGCATTCCTCCAAGATACTTCAGGCACTCTTTCATTTGTATATTTGAGCCCCAATAAGATACTGAAGTATATGCAAAGCAAAACATAGTGAAATGACTGCACAGAACACAGGAGAAAGCTCCCCTCTTCTCCTCCTCACTTAATCTTGACTTAAAGAATTTATACTTCTCAGGATGAATGTGGGAGTCAATCCCCTGATACTACATTCCATATAGTTAGTTTTCTTTTCGAAATTCTGAGTCCCGAAGAGAGATTTAGCATAGCAAAGTGGACATCAAGAGCACATTTTAAAACCAGTTTTGCTTTTTAATCCCAGGCCATTTACTTAACCACTTTCAGTCTTAGTTGGCTCAAATGTAAGATGAGGATAATAATACCTACCTCCAGGATTGTAAGAATTAAACGACATCATTAATATAAATCACTTAGCACAGAGCCTGACACAAAGGAAGTTAGATAATAGACTGATTTATATGGGTCTTAAATTTGTCCTAAGATGAGTTCCCTTATTTAAATCACATTGCCAGGTGAAAGTTCCAGGACTGCCTGGTAGCACTGTGAATAATAGGAAAAAGGGGGAAGTTATGACAAGTAATTATAATTATCAAGAAAAGGAAAAACTTGGATTTGGTTGGAGATGAAGTCATCTCTCTTTTTGGAATTAACCCTGCTCCTAAATTAAGTCTGACATTTTCCTGAGCCATTTTTAGTTGACGTTATTTCCTACTCCTGTAATTTATCCTATAAGATCAAATCATTACACTGGTAGCTGACATCAAGAATATTCCCTTTGTTTCTTGTAATATCAGTATGTCATGTGTTATAACCTGGAATAACAAATCCAAGGACCTCATATCCTAAATTATAATTCTTGTCTATTTCCATATTCTGCTTTTCTGAGAACTAGGTAAACCACAAGAACGTTACTAATACCAGGGATTGCATTAAAAACCATCTTTTCAAGGTCTGGCTTGGTTTAGAACAGCCTCTGCTCTGTCTCCTATCCTTTCTATAAGGTGATCTTTTTAGAGTAACAGCTCCTAAGGCCTTGCAAGATTGTGAACCATCAAAAAATTACTCCTTTGTATCTCATTTTAACCAATTAACCCAAGATTTCACCACTCTTAGTGGACGGGGGAAAATATTAGGAAAGGAAGAGGTGCACATGTTTTAAAAAGGAAAAAATCTGTTATCCTAGTTAATCTGTTAACTAGGATAACTAGTTTCTCAAATGTACTGGTTAATGGAGGCTTTCATATACTGCTATGCTGATATTATATCCTTATGCCACCTCAGGCAAATGTAGAGAAACCAACAAGCTCCCTGCAGCCTGAGATGGTCCGGGTTTTAGCCCTGGAAACATTGTGTCTAAGGAAACCCATCAGTCATGGAGAAAATCGGACAGTTGGTCACCCTAGCCAACCGAGAGATTGTTTAATTTCTTGCTCCGTATGACATGATCCCCTGATAAGTCTAATATCCCTCTGGTACCATGCACAGTTATTACAATATTATCTTTTATTAAGAAGTTTGGTTTCCATTAAAGGCTCAAGTGCCCAGGGAGAAAAATGTGTTTGAATTTCAAGTGTGAGAGAATGGCCCAGGGCCCTAATTACTCAACAAGGGCTCATCAGTATCCTCTAGGACTATCACCTGTGAGTGTGTCAAGGCTCCCTCCTGCCCAAGAAATGCTTGCCCTTCACAGTAGATGTATAAATAGGGCTTTGATTCATGAATTAATTTTCTTTCTTGTGGTAGGCATAAACTGTGCATTCAGTTCTCTAACACCTAACTTTACAGGAATGACTGTTAGATGAGAGCTTTGAATATATAATAAATATAATAATAGTACAATGGCCATAGTAATTGATATTCAAATACTATTTGAAAAATATTTATGCTTGCATTATTCTTATACTTTCAACATATTTCCACAAGAATATATTACTGGATCAAGGGCAGTTGCTGGTACAGCTACATCAAATCAGAGGTGTCCCCTAATGAATCAGAAGGCATTTCAGGTCATTATAGTGCCCCAGGATGATTGTCATGAATTTGAATTGTCCAAGTGCAAAACATGCACACTAACAGATATTGCCATGACGTCATGAAAAATCAGTATAGGGTTAATTGTAAAACTAGAGATTCACTTAACCCTAATAAATAAAATGAGATCCATGACTCTTTGGGAAAATTTCCACCTAAATCAATATGAGTATATCTTTAAGGGCCTCAAGAGTCTGCAGCCTTATAGTAAGTCAGAACATTCCACTGACCTCTGACAAATAACATCACCGAAATCAGGTGTTCCCGTTTGTAAGACCCTTTTTCAGTCTTCTGAATGACACAGGTGTACCTGCCACTGTCCGACAGGCGCAGAGCCAGGATCACAATGGAGAGGTTATTGGAGATGTCGGTGAAGGTACGGTTCTCATACTCGGGCCACACTTGCACTTTTCCATTTATAACAGCCAGCACCATACTATGATATTTTTGCCAGTAGATGCGAACTCTTGTCAGTTCATCAGTGGAAATGTTGTAACCACAGGATAGTACTGCTACGTCTTTCACTGTCTTGGTCACCTGGGTGATGCCTAAGGAGAGGCAAATAGAACAACATTTTATATTTATTAAATATAGATTCCTGCACAAGCAAGAATTCGGAGTTGGCAGTAACAGAACTCAGAGTGTTATATCTAGTGACTAAGCATAATCAGAGAATTCCGTTTTTTGATTTTTTTTGGTCCCCGGAGCATTTTTTCCCTTCATTTTTAAAATGTGGTTAAAAAAGAAAACCCATAAAATTGACCATGTTAACTATTTTTAAGTGTATAGTTCAGTAGTGTTAAGTATATTCATATTGTCGTGAAACAGAACTCCAGAAAAAGAGTTCTGCACATTTGGAACTCTGTACATATTAAACAACTACCCTTCCTCCCTCCCCCTAGCCCCTGGTAACCACCACTCAACTTTCTGTTCGACTACTTTAGATATTATATATAAGTGGAATCATGCAGTATTTGCCTTTTTGTTTATTTCACAGTTTAACATCCTTAAATTTCTTCATGTTTTAGCATGTGTCAGGATTTTCTTTCTATTTAAGGAATGATCATGATAATAATGATAATGAATAATATTCCATTATATATTATACACGTTATATATTGTATGTACAGTATTTACTTTATCCAGTCATCTCTCGACAGACAGTGAAGGAGACGGTCCATAAAAAGAAGGACTTTAGGAGACTTTGGTAAAGTGCTCCCTTTGTTCATTAATTTTATTCCTGAGCTCACTGAACCACCTTTCTGAGTTTCTCGTATTTTGCTGAGTTTCTTCATAACTGTGATCTTAAATTCTCTGTCATTTAAATCACAGTCTTCCACGACTTTGAGTTTGGATTCTTTTCATTTTCCATGGAGGCTTTTCATTTTCTTTCTGTGCTCCCATGTTACCTTGATTGTTCATAGTACTTGATGGATTGTTTCTCTGTCCGTGCATTTGAGGGTGTGAATGCTCTTATTTAGGTACTGTCCTGCTTCTAACAATTCAGCAGGTCGATAGGTAGGGCACTTTCTTTTGTTTTCCAGTAGATGGTGCTATGACACAAGTTTTGTTTTCTCTTACCCACAACACCCCTTAGGTTGAGGAAAATGCCTCTTACCTACTGGAGTGACGGGTGTTTCCCTCTTTGACTGGCTGGCCTCGGCGTGGTGGGAGAATGTGCTGGTGGCTGAGAACCAGTTTTGCGAACTCCCAGTTACTGCCTCCTGGTTACTAATAACCGCTGGCCCTGCTGTGTTAATGGAGGCATCTCCACTGCCTCTCCCAGGCTCTGCTGGGATGGGTGGGGCAAGGAAGGCGACTTCGGGATTGCAGCTCTGCCTTCTTGTCAGTAGTGGCTGCTGGCACCGCTGTGCTGTTTAAGCACCCCAGCCACCTCTACTGGGCTCTGCTGCGATAGGGATGGTGGGGGCGGGGGGGTGGCGCAGGGAGCTGTTGTCTCAGAAAAGAACCTGCCTCTGCCCACCTTATGCTCCAGGCTGTAGAGTGAGGGCTGCAGCCTGACTTCACCACTATCATGCTCACTGAACCCGGGTGTGTGCTGAACTGTGTCTTCCACCACTGTCCCTGTCCTTCCCCCAACCTGCCTCTCCTACTCATTCCAATGTGTGGATCTCTCTGGTGGGTTTGTGTTGAGCAGGGGATCCTTTGTTGAATTATAGTTGTCTGACTTGTCGTAAATTTAAGAAGAGAAACAAAGGAGTCTTCTCACTTCGCCATCATGCTGATGTCGCCAAAAGTGAGCTAATTTCAATGATGGTTCTTAAGGAATTTTTATCCAGCCATCAGAGGAAAAGTGTAGGTGTGTGTAAAGGTCACTGACACTATGTGAGGCCCCCTTGCAAGACTCTCATGTTGAGAAAGAACCAGACTGAAAAGAGGAATCAAAAATCTTCTGCGTAATTTGGAAATTCCCGCTGGGACCAGCTTCCATATTTAGGCCCCTGTGCTAGAAAGTGCATTTTAACAAGGCCCTAGTATGTAAAATTAAAATGTAAGCAGTATAGACCATGTCACTTCCCTGCTTAAACCTTTCCATGGCTTCTCAGTGTCCTCCAAATAATATTCAGATTCCTGACTGTGGTGGTCCCTGCCTCTTCTCCCTTCTTCAGTTCCTTGCTCCTTGGTTTCTCTCACATTCTGCTTCTTCCACCTTCTCCCAGTTCACTCTCACCCTCTCCCCTCTGGCAGGGAATGACAGTGTTTGTTGGTCATCCATTCAATTGAGTGATTACTTGATTTTCATCTTCTTCCTAATGACCATAAATCCCATGAAAGCAAAAGCTATGTCAATTTTGCTAACGACGTGGCTCCAAGCAAATTGTCTTGTATGTAAAAGATGCTCGATGTTTGTTGAATTAATAAATGATTAAACGAAAGAATGAACATGTGTGCCAGATTCATCCTTACCTTTGTGCCTTTGTCCATACTGTTGCCCCACCCAGAGTTTTCTTGCTATCACCCATCCACCACCATAAAGCCTGCCTAGCTGCTCCAGCCCACCTTGGTCCACTATTCACAGGTCTTGGGCTCTTACAGTCAGAACGAGGTACTTCACTGCTCTTCAATTGCTTGTAAGTTAATTTTGCCTTCTCCAATTAATACACTCAAATCTCTTTGAGGGCAGGAATCTCTCTCTCTCTCACTCACTCTCACTCACTCTCTCAGAAAGCCTGTAATAATTTCCTTTTAAATATTTTAAAACTCATTTAGACTCTAGCAGAAGTTTGGGATTGCTCCCCCAACTTCCCAGAAGAAAATTGTATCTTTTGAATATGTAATGTAACTGTCAAAAATATCAAAAACTGTCAAAAACTGTCAAAAATATCAAAAACTGTCAAAAACAGTCAAATAGTCTGTGTGCCCCAACTCCTCTTCCCTTCCCTCTACCTACTTCCCTCACATCTTAGACATTCTGGGCAATGCCTGCAGTGCAGACATGTTTTAACTAAGTAGCTGTTAAGACAAGGGGCTTTGATATTCAGCTCTTTGTCGACTGGCAAACTGTGCTGGAGCCAATGCCTTCTCTTTATTTTGGGGAAACCAGATACTATACTGCTCAGCAGAAAGCAATTCTTTTGTTTTTATGTTAAAAATAAAGTCAGAACCATCCTATTGGCAGGATGAGCCCCACCCTTCTCAATAGTCCCCAAAGTCCAGCACTTGAGCAGAAACAAAAGCCTCCAGAAGTTAAAATATTGTTTGCAGATCACACATGACATACATACGTAGTAAGTTAAAAATAACTAAGAATATAATTTTGTGCTAAATCTGATACCACTTAATGTCAGATGCCAGGATTGACAAAGGGTATAAGCATCTAAAGCATAAAGATAAATATTAAGAGAAAAATTTAACATTAGAAGAGTATTTGCCTCAATTACTTTCTTTTCACCATTCTAATTGGAAAGATCACCAATACTCAATTTTAGAAGCAGAGTACTTTAGCTGTGTTGTCTCATAGAAATCTGGTTTGGGAATCGGAGACCTAGGCCAATGCCCTTAGCATATCACAAAATGTAAACGAGCATCTAGTGTTCATGGAAGAGACCAAAACTCCAAGCTGTACTTCTGAATAGCTTTATGATTTTGCTAAAGTAACACTGTCTAGCCCTCCCTTTAAGGACTGGGTTCTTGAGCTAACTTGGCTGCTGACTTGCTGTGTAAATCATAGGAAGGTTCTTTAATCTCTTGGACCTGCTTTCTCATCCCTAAAATGGATGGAAATATTCTGAAGGTCCCTTTCAGCTGGCAGGATGACAGAGGAAGGCAGCACCAAGAACATCGTCTCCTTTTTCTAAATCCTGAAACGATGGATTCAGTCAAGTTTCTGTAATTTGCTTACCTGAACAGAAACAGAAGTCAAAAAGACCAGCCAGCACCAATAGCTGAAAGAGCTTGAAGTATGAGAATTTGGATGATGGTGTTCTCCACTTTATTGTATGATCCATGGCTCCTGCTGCTTATGATGGAAGATTCACACCACGTGAGACCCGGGTACCTTCCAGCACACACGAGGTTAGAGCAGAAGACAATTCAGTTGCCCCACACAAAGGGTTCTCCCGTGATGTTTGCAAAACACACTGAGGAGAGGCTGCTGATGTGCCTAGGTCTCCAAACTGCTGATTGTAAAAGATTGTGGATTTATTGTCACAACCTGAAAAAGAAAAACATAACAGTCACCCAGGAAGGAAGGCCAGCCCACTTCTTAAAATGAGTCATATTTTGTCCAAGGCAGTACTTCAGTTACTCATTTTTTAACATATGAACAAAGAAAAACAAGTGTCTCAATTCTTAAATGCCTCTTCACAAAGGATATATCTTAAAGAGTAGAGCAGCTCAGTCAACGGAAAAGTCTATCAGTAAAAGAAGGGAAAAGATATATGGCAAGCATTATTTATATTATGTACTATAATGTGAGGAAGCTGATTTTTTTTTTCAGTAAACATGTCAAAATTTAGAAACAAAAATGAATGCCATGCTCCATTGTGACCCTCTCAGGTTGCTACCACGGCCCAATGCAATCCAGAATACGTTTGGGACTCCTGTTCAGGAACTGCCTCACAGCTAGTTTTACAATCATACCAGGATTAGCTTGGATTCACTTATTCATCCAAATTTTGCTGTTTTGAAGAACTCGAATTCAGCTTAGTAAATTAACATTTGCTACCATCTAGGAAATTTAAAATAATAGACCATATTCTGATGATGATTCTCCAATTGTGTTGAGCAGCCGCAGTCTCCTGTGGGAATAAGAGCCCTAAAAAGTCTCCTTGGAGGGCAAGTATAGGGCTTGGAGGTAGGCCTCATGGTACGTTTGTTTAAAAAGCAGTCAAGTCATGGGTCAAGATGGCATAGTAGGTAAATGCTGTGTTTGCCTCCTCTTATGACCACATCAGAATTACAACTAAAGAACAATCATCATTGAGAATCACCTGAAGTCTAGCTGAACATAAGTCCTACAACTAAAGATATACAGAAGAAGCCACCTCTAGACTGGTGGGGGGGGGGTGGAGATGGAACTGGCTCATCCCACACCAGCGTGTGGCTGTTAAAGATCAGGAGGGATACCTATGGAGGTCCTGACTGAGGAGTGAGGGGTCCCAGCCCCACACCAGACTCCCCAGCCAGGGGTTCTAGTGCTGGGAAGAGAAGTTCCTACAACTTCTGGCTGTGAAAACCAGCAGAGATTGTGGCCGAGTGAGACGAGACGGAGTGTGGCTGGAATTCCTCTTAAAGGCCCTGTACACCGACTTACTTGCTGAGGGATTTACTTGCTCTGAGCTCCAGCACTTGGACAGCAGCTCAAAAGGTACCAGGGAGGACTGCGTTGTCTGTCTTCGAGGCGAGGGCTGAAGGGGCAGCTTTCTCCCAGACAGAAGTGCTGGCAGAGGGCATTGTTCCTTTGCTGAGTCTCCACCCCACCCTACCCCACCGGCACGCAGACACGGAGGAGGGGGGGTGGGAGTGGGGCGACGGGGGGGTGGTGGTGAGGAGGGTGCCGTATCTGAGTCTCCATCAACCTGGCTAACAAGAGATCTCTCCATGCCGGTGATTCCCTGAGATCCACCCCACCCAATTTGCAGTCTCACCCAAGCCTCTTCCGGAGGGGTTTCCATACAAACGACCTGTCTTTAGCTCATGCTATGGAATTTCCCTAAAATCTTTCAAAAGTTCATGAAACTCAAATAAGCAGCATCTGGCCTCAACATGCTCTTTATCTCTTGCTGAGCAGCCCCAAGACCAGCACTAGTGGCAGCCAGCCTCAGTTCATGGTTTGGCTTCTCTAGGAAACTTTAAGTTCAGTGCGGGTGGCGGCCATCTGCAAATTGCTTGGTGGTCCTGGGAAGGCACAGGCTGTGGCTGAACTTGGACTGCAGTAGGGGCCCTCCCAGGAGGCCCCCTGGGGCCCACATGCCCAATGGCTGGTATCAACTGGAGCTGGAGCACCACCTGGGGCTCCATCTGATGACAACATACCATAAAGCACCAGAGTCCCACTAAAGTGAATTCTGCTCCATAGAGTCAGCCCCTCCCTGGCCAGTCTTCACAACCAATCAACCCATGGGTCAATGCTTCCCATTGATGTGCAAACAGCAACCAAGGCTTAACTACAACGAGAGGACACACACACAACCCGTACAGCAGGCATACCTGGAACACTCAGCTCAGGTGACCAGCGAGACTGAGTACCACAGCACACCTACTACATAAGGCCACTCTACTATACTGGGAGACATAGCAGCCCTACCTAATACATAGAAAAAAATACAGGATGGCAGCCGAAATGGGGAGGCAAAGAAACACGTTCTAAATGAAAGAACAGAACAAAGCTGCAGAAAAAGAACTTAACAAAATGGAGACAAGCAATCTAATAGATGCAGAGTTCAAACCACTGATTATAAGGATGCTCATGCTGCTTATGATGGAAGATTCACACCAAGTGAGACCTGGGTACCTTCCAGCACACACGAGGTTAGAGCAGAAGACAATGAACTGAGAAGAAGAGTAGATGAACTCAGTGATAACTTTAATAAAGAGACAGAAAACATAAAAATGGAGACAGAAAACATTGAAAAGAACCAGTCAGAAATGAAGACTACAATAACTGAAATAATGAATACATTAGTGGGAATTAACAGTAGATTAGATGAAGCAGAGGGTCCAATAAGGGATTTAGAAGATAAGGTAGCAGAAAACACCCAATCAGAACAACAAGAACAAAGAATCCCCCAAAATGGGGATTATTTTAGGGGCTTCTGGGATAATATCAGGTGTACCAAGATTCACATCATAGAAATACCAGAAGGAGAAGAGAGAGAACAAAGAATTGAAAATCCATTTGAAGAAATAATGATTGAAAACTTTCTTAACTTAGCAAGGAACTAGTCATACAATGCCAGCAAGCAAAGAGAGTCCCAAACAAAATGAACCCAAAGAGGCCTAGACCAAGAAATATCATAATTAAAATGCCAAAAGTTAAAGACAGAGGGAATTTTAAAAGCAGCAAGAGAAAAGCAATTAGTTACCTACAAGGGAGCTCCTATGAATCTGTTAGCTGATTTCTCTGCAGAAACTTTACAAGCCAGAAGGGACTGGCATGAAATATTCAAAGTGATGAAAAGCAAGGATCTATAAGCAAGATTACGCTCCCCAGCAAAGTTATCATTTAGAATCAAAAGACAGATAAAGAACTTCCCAGGCAAGAAAAAGCAAAAGGAGTTCTTCTCCACAAAACCCGTATTATGAGAAATGTTAGAGTGGCTTCTTTAAGAAGAAAAAAGATATATTAAAAATATGAATAATAAAATTACAACACTACATATCTATCAACAATTGCTTCAGATGAAAAAGGATTAAATGCTCCAATCAAAAGATAAAGTGGCTGAATGGATAAGTAAACAAGACCCTTACATATGCTGCCTACAAGAGACTCACTTCAGATTGAAAGAGACACACAGACTGAAAAGTAAAGGGATGAAAAAGATATTTCATGAAAATGGACACAAACAAACAGAAAAAGCTGGGGTAGCAATCCTAATACTAGACAAAATAAACTTCAAAACAAAGGCTATAATAAGAGACAGAGAAGGACCCAGTAATCTCACTTCTGGGTATTTTTCTGAAAGAACCCCAAATACTACTTTGAAGGGACCTTTGCATCCGTCTGTTCACTGCAGCATTATTTACAATAGCCAAGATATGGAGATGACCTGGGTGTCCACCAACAGATGAATGGATAAGGAAGAAGTGGTACCTATGTCGAATGGAATATTACTCGGCCATAAAAAAAGGAAAAAAGAATGAAATCTTGCCATTTGAAACAACATAGATGGACCTACAGGGTATTGTGCTGAGTGGAGTAAGTCAGAGAAAGAAAGACAAATTTCATATGATTTCACTTATATGTGGAATCTAAAGAACAAAATAAAAAACAAAACAAAACAAAAATAAACTCATAGACATAGAGAACATTTTGAGGGTTGCCAGATAGGAGGTAGGTTGGGGGGCAGTGAAAAAGGGGAAGAGATTTAGAAGTGCAAATTGGTAGTTATAAAATAGTCATGGGGATGTAGAATATATGATAAGGAATATATGACACCATAACTATGTATGGTGTCAGATGAGTACTAGATTTATTGGGGCGATCACTTCATAAGATATATAAATGTCTAATCACTGTGGTGTACACCCGAAACTAATATAATATTATATGCCAATTGTATTTGAAAAATAAAATAATAATAATAATAAATAGTCCCTGGAAACTATAGAACTTGTAAAAAATATGCTGCTTATTAAAACCCTATTAAATTTAAAAATAAAATAAAATAAAATAAAAGCACTCAAGTCAACAGGAGTCCCAAACTAGTTCTACCAAGCTTTCCCATATTAAGATAATAATAAGTGTACTTACCTGCTGAAGGACAATTCCTTTCCTTTGTGTTAAAAATCCGAGTATGAGACTTCACTTTTTATATCTTCTTTTCTGCCTTCTTCCAACTCAAAGAGGTGGCATTCCCCTTCAACTTCCCCTTAACTTTTAGTGACAGTGTTTAACCCAGACTAATTAAGTGAATAGATCGTTTGGGTAGAGTGCTATGATTTGAGGAAGTTCCTTCAGCATAAGCTATCTCTTTAGAGGGTGTGGCTGGGGCAAACCATAAACCAAACATTTTACAGGGGAGAGAAGACAGCACTAGGCAGCCTGGGGAAGATGGACGAAAGTGGGAGGGGTGGGCTTCATTGACTTTATTTGGCAGTAGATACTGTACTATGAGCTTTATGGGCAGGCTGTGCTGGTCTTAAGTTTCATTTTAGCGCTCAGTTATTTCTCCCTCCTTTATCACAGTTACACCACTGCAAGAGTGGGCTGCCCACTTCATATAGTGGACAACCTTTTAGAGAGTGCTCTACTCACAAGACCACTCTTAACTGCACTCCCACCCCTCCAAACCACCATCTTAACAGAGTGGGCTCCTGGTAGCCATGTCGGACATTGTATCCAAGTCACCATAACCATGGCTGAGGGCACTTGGTGGGTAAACAGCTGACCCATGCTGGTCCAGCTGACCTGTTTTGCACAGGTAGAACCTGACAGCACCTTGCTGAGGCTTGCAGATTTCAGTTAGCTGTTGGCCACAGGGGCTTCACTGTTGCCTTGGCTTGGGCTACCTTTGGAAGTTTTTCACTCAAGCCTGTGCAGTCTGGAAATATGGGGGGAGTTAATGGCCCCGGGGCTACTTTTGGCCATATGGAGCTGGAAGCTGATTGGATAACTGCTTTCCCCTTTTGTCGCCCAGGTGGAGAGTTTCAAGAACCATTATCAGATCTCACTGAACAAAATACCAAATGAGTGTATTTCATCGCATGTAAATTGTATCTTAAAAAAAAAAAAAAAAGCCCTCAGGCAAAGTCTGGGTTACAACTAGAAAGACAGGCATAGCCGTTCAAATGTTGAAGTATAAAGAATACTTACGTTAATGGGAAAAAAAATGAAGTAAACACTGCTGAGTCACTTAAAATAGTCAAGAGGCTGTTAAGGAAGTGGGGTCTATAAGCATCTTGTGCCCCAGTTCTCAGAGCTGCTAAGTTGCTAAACCTGTTACCAGACCAAAGAGGTCCATCTGCCTGCGTGCATCTAAATCAATGAGATACATACAGGTTTTGTAGCAAAGAAAGTAAGAATTTATTTTAGAGAGTTGCAAATCCTGAAGACACAGGTGAGCTATCACTCAAAGGCCTGGCTCTCTGAGTGTCTCAAAGGGATAGATTATCTAGTGGAAAAATCCTTAGTCATGGAAACTAAGGGAGTTGGGGTCATGGGTGCTATTGATTGGACAGGGTGGAGGTAATTGATCATCGTGTCCCTCTGGTTCTGGAATCAGCCATGGCATCATCCCATCTGGTCCTGTGGTTGGTGAGGCTGTTCCACCTGGATGGGTCTGGAGCCGAAACTCACCTAAAGCCAAGATGTTATCCTTAGTTTAAGTGAAATTTATTGTCCTCATGATTGATAGACCTGAGGCTTCAATCTTAAAGGATTTGACACTGGCCAGAATCTTACGTCCTAAGGCTTAATGGGAGTGGGCATACAAAGGTGGAAGGATAAGGGCCTAAACAACCAAAACCAGGTTGAGCCAAAGAAAAAGCTGTAAGTGGAATCCAGGTGCAGTTACAATTCCTCCCTTCCTTCTGATCACTCCTCAGTCTTGAGGGAACAGGGGCAATGACTTCTCTGGCTGCTTCCTGATGAAAGGAGTTGGAGTTTGGGAGTTAGAGGAATGAAACTGTCCTACATTCAATTGAAAATATTCTTTAGTTCCTGATTTCTGATGAATACTCTGTATTACTATAATGTTTGTTTTTTCTCTAGGAGCCCTGCCTTCAATTCTGAAGGTGAGATATTTAGTCAAAAACATATAGCCTCCAACAGATAACACAATTTGACAAGGATTATCAATATACTGTATCCCTGTAATAACCCACAAAAGAGGCCTCACATTTCCTGGAAAAGATTGTCTAATGGATCTTTCTCACAACTTGTAGCTAAGCAGCCTTCTGCATGATTTGATTTCTGAGTCTCAATTTCCCCAGAGGTATTAATGTAGGTGTAGCATATTGTATTAGCTACTGAATAGACTTCTTGTTTTGCCAGAAAGTAATTTAAAGGAATCCTATTGTCTAGGACAACATGTAGAGGACTTTAAGGTGGTCTCTTGGAGTTTTACAGCTTGAGCAGAATGGGCTGACTGTATAGATTAAATTTCATAATATCAGGTATTTATAAGAGATGTGTCTATGAAAACAAAAGAAAAGCAAAGGTTAATTATCAGAGCAAATTATAAACCGGGTCTGAGTTTGTAAGGCTGTCAGTAAGGGTGTAAGCACCTTTTGTAGTTTGAAATGTCCCTTATAATGTCATCAGGTGCTAAGTAAACTTTCTGCGTGGCTTACACAGCACCAGTCACTGAGATTGTTTAAACATGAGATTTTGTGGCAATTTTCTGAATTTTGTATCAAGTTGTCCATCTTTAGCTTGCATGGCTGGGAAAAAAAGGCAGTTTCAGTTCTCAATGATTTCCAGTCAAAGGATGGGAGAAATATTGAAAAAATGTTTGGAGAGTTATAGGCAGATATTGGAGGTAACTAAAAGATCTACTTTTGCTGATATAAATGCTTTTTGTTTTATTTTTTATTATAACCTCTTCTTTGGTTAACACATATATGTTGATCTTAATTCTTTTTAAAAGTAAGACTATTAATTTATTCAGACAAAAATACTTAGTTTTTCTTTGCTTTTATTTACTGTCAGTCCTATCGGCATTTAAAAAAATAAAAAAATCGAACAAAAAATCATCAGATTTGTATGGAAGCACAAAAGACCCCGAATTGCTAAAGCCAGCCTGAGAAAAAAGAACGAGGCTACAGGTATCACTTTGCCCAACTTCAAATTAAATTCAAAGCGACAATAATCAAAGTGGCATGGTATTGGCAGCAAAACAGACACATGGAACAGTGGAACAGACTTGAGAGTCCAGAAGCAAGCTCATATTTATATCGGCAAATAATTTTTTACAAAAAAGCCAAAAACATACAGCGGAGAAAGGAAAGCCTCTTCAATAAATGGTGCTGGGAAAACTGGAAAGCCACCAAAAAAGAATGAACCTAGTCTGTTGTCTATTACCACACACCAAAATTAACTCAAAATAGATTAAGGACCTGAATATAAGACCTGAAACAATAAAATGCATAGAAGAAAACATAGGGATGAAACTCAAGGACTTTGGACTTAAATAGGATTTTATGAATTTGACATCAAAGGCAAGGCCATTCACTTAGTACCCTTTTCTGAGTATCTGGCTACATACTAGTTCACTATAACAGAGTAGCTGGGCATAAAGAATGGTGGAGGCATCAGTCTGGGGCCACATACGAGTCACTGACAAACGACTTCGGAGATCGTAGTCACAACATTCCCAGAAGCCAGGCGTTTCTCAATGCCTCTTGAGCCCATAGTCTCCGCTGGGGCAGAGAAGCGCCCCCCAATGCTCGGAAGCCGCTTTTAAGGCCCCAAGAACTCACTCAAGCCAGATATGTAAAGCGCGGGGCACTCCTTCCGGGTCTGATTAATTTGGGCTCGACTCCAGAGATGACCAAGCTCCTCCCCTGTCTTAAGACTTGCGGCCCCTGTGCCTCTTACACGCCGGAAGCATCTAGGCGTCTCCCAACACCCCGAGCTCCTCGCGCCGGGCCTCGCCCTTGTCCCACTGGCCCCACTCCCTCGGCCACCAGGTACTCCACCCTGCTGTCCGCACCCCCACCCCCTCCCGCTCACTCCTCCTCCCCTTCACCGGTTTCTGACAGTGACCGGATCGCACCCGCTTCTCGCGCCGCAAGCCTTCCTCAGCCCTGTCCCTCGTGCACGCTCTCCCCACCTCCCCCAGGACTTGGTACACGCCTCAAGGCGTTCCCCGCACGCACTCTCCCCTCTGCGATGACCGGGTGCCCCTACCCCCATCCCGCCCAGGGCGGCGGGCGTTCCCTACCCTCAAAAAAATAAAAATCAGAGGTCTGGCGGGAAGCAGCTGCCCAACCTTAGTTCTGAATTTGTAGTTCGGGAGCGAGACTGTAAACTGTAAAAGTTCAAAGGAGTTTAAGAAGTTCAGAAAGCTGGAGGCTGGAGCACGTGTG